CAACTAATTGACGGTAATCTAAAACTCATGTTAGAACATGTTTATATCTTTCTTGTGAAGTATTTTATAAATAAGCGGTCATAGATGCTGTACGTCCCGAAGCAAACGTTAAATATAAAGATTCTAGTTAAAGAAAGTTCAAAATATTCACAAATAATCTATATATTAATACGTGAAGCAAAAACTTTGTATCCCTTTTTACGAAAATTGTGCGGATGGAGCAGTATGAAATTTCCCACACTTACAGAGAATACAGAGAAAGAAAGTAAATATTTTTTTAAATTACGCATAAAAAACACTTTAAATCAATAAAAAAAAAACATTACACACACTACCATCTATTTGACAAACACACACTTAAATAAATGTATACTTTGTTTATTGTCAAATTTCTATTATTTAAAGTCTGTGGTCAAATTGAGAATAGATTAGCATATATTGTTTATCTTTAATATTATTTGTCTATAGTGTAGTCTTGGCGAAAACTGTGAATAAATAATTATAAGTCTGAGAATAGAACCATAATAATGTTCAAATTTATAATTTAAATTATTATAGTCGAATTTCGACTACTGCGGGACCACTAGTAATAATAAAAACATGAACGCCACATTTGGTGCGTGATTATAATGACAAGATAAATACTTAATATCCAATACTTAGCTGAGTCTAAAATCTATGATGACTACCCAAAAACATGTTGCTCTTTTCGTTCTCGTTTGAATGTTTGAATAGGGGAGCTCAGCGTTCGGCATTTGAATTTGAATGTTAGCGACCAGTTTAACGCTCTACCGTGAGTCAGACGGCATGGTTCGCTGGCTGCGAAAATTTTACCTTTGCCACATTCGAGTTAACCTCTTCGCTGTGCGTACGACAATAACTAGTTGTTAATCGTAAAAAAAAATGTTAAAAAAGTCGGCCCTTTTTTGTTGTTGTGGGCAACCTATACAGTTCAAGTAACAAATTTTGGGCAATAATAATAATAATTTTTTTGCGGTCGATACATTTGAACGACTATAACGTGATTTGAAGCCGGTGAAAGTATTTTAATGATGATAGTAGAATTAAACAAATGAACTATTACTATTTTCGTAAGATGTGTCCTTGGATGAGATCGGTATTCTTACGTTTTCACTCACTAATGCCTATCTTATGATGTACGTAACATAACTAATCGTGTTTCGGATTAAAGAATAGAAGAGCTCTTGTAACGTCTCCATTGTATGATTGCGGTGACATTAGTCCTTGGATTTAATACTAATAACTACTTGAAGCAATGGCAGAAAATATAATTTATGCTCGTCACGCGATTACTTCTTAATTAATCAGCAAAACAAACTTTTTTTTGTTATCTCTTTCCTAGTTCTAAATGACTACAGAAACAGCTTTAATATAAGGTCAACGACAAAACAATAAAAAATTGCATTAAGCGAATTTATTCGTTTTTTTTTTTCATCTGAGGTGGGTGGCGCATTTACGTTGTAGATGTCTATGGGCTCCATTAACCACTTAACACCAGGTGGGCTGTGAGCTCGTCCATCCATCTAAGCAATAAAAAAAAAACTGTTATTTTTGTTGTTAAGCTAATGATAATAGTGATAATGTAGAAATCTTCAAAATTTGTATACAGTGGACATTAGTTTGATAATGGCAATATCTCAATTGGTCGAGTTATGCGTCTTTTGTAATAGGTATTTCTGCCTGCAAGTGTACCTAAATGAATGTTGAGCAACATTGGCAGCGAGCGCGGGCGTGCCTACATCTTGTTTACTTTCAGCAACAAATCACGTTTCTATGAAACAAAGCTAAAATTAACTTTGATTTTCACAACTGCTAATGTTTGTTTGAAGTAAAGAAAACCGAAAAAAAATAATTATACAAATAAGTCAAAAAATATCTTATTTAATAACCACCAAACTTCATTCGTTTGTTAACATTAATCTATTTATTCAATACACACACACACACACACACAGGTACACTATGAATTATTATCGCTAGTTTTCTAACTGAATATGTTGTTACTATTCTTTATTGTAACAAGAACGTTCGCAGTTTTTTTAAGTCGTCGTGGCCTAAAGGATAATACGTTCGATGCATTCGTAACTAGCGATGCACAGGTGTTCGAATCCCGCAGGCGGGTACCAATTTTTCTAATGAAATACGTACTTAACAATTGTTCACGATTGACTTCTAGGGTGAAGGAATAATAGCATCGTGTAATAAAAATCAAACCCGCCAAAATTATATTTTGCGTAATTACTGGTGGTAGGACCTCTTGTGAGTCCGCACGGGTAGGTACCACCACCCTGCCTATTTCTGCCGTGAAGCAGTAATGCGTTTCGGTTTGAAGGGCGGGGCAGCCATTGCAACTGAGACTTATATCTCAAGGTAGTTGGCGCATTTGCGTTGTAGATGTCTATGGGCTCCAGTAACCACTTAACATTAGGTGAGCTGTAAGCTCGTCCAACCATCTAACCAAAAAAAAAACTCGTATTAATCTATTTATACCAAACTAGCTTAATGATATCATCTCGTCACGTCATAACAACAAGTTATCTCTATTAATCTCTGTAAACTACGTACTTTTCAAGCGAAGACTGCACTCGCACAAACAAACAGGCAAAAGTTATTAGTTAACTATTTAATTGCTTTTTGGCATAAATATACCTAAAATGTACCTTTATATACACCATAAATATACATTTAAACACGAAATTCAAAGAACAGAATTAGTGTAATTATAAACGAAAAAAAAATATGGCAAAATATGTTACTTTCCGGCCTATATACATTATCCAATTGCATAGGATATTTGTCGTACGATTGCTCCTACATTGTGTAAAAAAATCATTAAAAAGGCTTCTATTTATACTATCGTCACATTTATACTTGAAATTTAAATGGATGTCTGCACTGAAATAAAAAAATTCAGTCAGTAACAGAACTGCTAAAAATACTTGAAGCCGTATACAAAACGAAATCGCTGCTAAACCTTGAATGTCTGTGTTTTTCTATTATTTACTATTTTAATTGCCAGAAATGTCAAGATTAAATTCGTACAAATAAATATTCAAACAGCTTTAATTAAGAATACAAAATGAAGCGAAATCAAAGATCAGAAGAGTGCAATTATTAAAATATTAGCTTTCATTTATTTATATTAACACTAGCTGACCCGGCAACCGTTGTGTTGCCTTAAATAAGATTTCTAGGGAGAATTTCTAGTGTAGAAAAAAAACCTAACTTATTGTAAGTGTGTAAGGATGTGGTAGATGAGTGAAAGAGGCATGTAGCGCTGTGAACGATGAAGGAATATAAAAATAACAATACCTCATTCAACCACATAATGTCTCATTATAACAAAAAAAAAATTGTCCAAAAAATAAAAAATCAATCTTAGGGGTGAACAACCCTTATCACTTAAGGGTTTGAAAAATAGATAGTAGCCGATTCCCAGGCTTACTGAATATGCATAAAAAATTTGATGAGAATCGGTCAAGCGGTTTCGGAGGAGTATGGAAACGAACATTGTGACACGAGAATTTTATATATTAGATAATAATATCGCATTAACTATCCATGATTTCAAATGCTTGTTTTCCAAATGCTTTCTTCCAAAAATCATTAAAGTATAAAATAAGTCACTAGGCGACCGCGGAAATGCAACACACAAGTCTACAAAAGTCGTAGCTTTAGGAACATAAAAATTGAAGTTGGTTATAACGAGAATAAAAATATACTTATTTATTAAACAGAATACCTGTTAATGGTTGAGTAACAAAAAGTACATGATCTAACTTGATTAATAATTAAAAAAATTCATATTATTATTCATACTTATTTTTCGCCTATCTATTCACTGATAGCCTAAGAGGCTATTTCAGGTACGCCCGGATGGGTAAGTGAGCTCATGGGCTCAACTTGAGAGAATTTGCTAATACTAGCCATATGTGGACAATTGCATTCTTATTAGGTTCTATGGTTTATACTTCAAATGGTGAAATCTGTAAATTTTAATATGATATTTTGTTGTTTTCAACACAAAAACACCTAGACCACGTAGTCTGAGTCTCAGTTAAATGTAAACTATAATTACTGAAGGGTATCCGAATCGTTTGCGCCGGCGTTGTTATCTCGTAGCTATTGTTTAACACGTTTTTTTCATTCCCACGACAGTCGCGAGCGTTGAGCGTCTGATAACGCGCTGTACCTGCTCCCCAAGGTACTAGGTATGTATCCAATTCTAAATTATATTCCGAGGTAAGACCACAAAAAAGTAAGAGTAAATAACATTGCCCGTGACTCAATGAAATATAGATCTTTGAATACCAGGAAATATATTTTAAAATTTACCAGCTAGTACTTTAGTTTATACATTGTAACATGTTTCGTTGCATTAGTTTTCGTACGACGTAACAAAGATGAGCTTTTGGTTTAAATCTCCATTGAATTACATTATTGCTTAACATCAGGTGAACCGTGAGCTCATTTGCCTAACTACACTAATATAAAACACCATAATTTTATACCATTATGGTGACCTAAATTGGCAACTCTTCTGACGTTTTATCTAAAATTCAGTAATGTAGTGATTGCGTAATATATGTATGTATGGATGTAGTAAGTATTCTTATTAGTGGATATTATTTTAAGTACATACACTGATAGCTAAAACAGTTTTGGCGCTATGTCATCGGATCGTACGCGACTAGTGTGGCTATTTCTGCGATTGATCTGAATCGATATTCAACAACAAAGTAAATAATAATGGCTAAGTATGTATCAAAGTGTATTACCAAACATTAAATATTTAAAGTCAGCTTTATATTCATCTCATGCGGACAGAAAACAGTGTTGAATTTAAATGGGACGGTATCAGACAAAGAGCCCGAGCCGGGGTGAAGTGCGAAACACTCCGACCCACGCTCTTTACGAGGACAGATAAATGTAATAGCTGGATGAACTGAATCCATTATCCAATGACGTGAACCAATTACCCATTTAATGCAATTTGGGGCATTGTGAGCTCGTCGTGTGCGACTTCTCGTACATTCCCAGCGTCACTCACTCAAAAGCACCGATCAATGAAATCACTGGTGAGCAAACACTCTGTGAGCACGGAACGATCGCGGAGGTTCGTGTTTCGGACCGGTCATTGCAAACGAGAAGCGCAAGGATTCCGAAGCGTGAAGCAGGCTGTAAGGGCGCGCGCGTGCGTCGCTGCTGCCAGCGCGCGACTACTCGCCACTCAATGGGCGCTCGGCGGAGGGGCGAAGCTCGCGGTACACTCCTCACGAGCTTACGAAAATTACCAATTGCGACTCTCCCCTCATTAAACTAGGTAATTTTACAGCACGACGACACACTTGCGATTTCGACATGCATTGGAACGGCGCGACGCACTCACTGCGTTAACGATTAGCTCGACATTCGATATTAGCCGAAAGAGGATAAGTTTTTTAAGAGCTTCCGAAGCTCGGTGCGTTGCTGAGCATCCGGTGGCACCTGCTTGCTCTCGAGGTGTGAGTGTGCGTTAGAAGGAGATATAACGAGCGACGGGAGCGCGGACCGGATGGCGGACTCGGTTATGAATGAATCCGCCGTCCTTGTCTGTCGAGCGAGTTCGTGCGGTGGAGTCTCTCTCGTGCGCAGGTTGTCGCCGTGGAGGAAGTGAAAGGGACGGGGCGCGTAGTAAATATTGCGCTCTGTGGATCCGTCGGGAGTATTCGAACTAAAAGGTCTCTCAGTTTTTGTCCTACCACAAAGAGCAGTGTCTTCATTCATACCTTTTTAGATTCGGTCACTAGCATTAGTTAGTTCGAAACACGAAAAACTAGTTTGGCTTTCTCATAAAATTCGCATCACCTCGTCGTTGTGAAATCTATCATATTTCTATGATATGTATCTATTGAAATTTAAAATAAATTTGCTGTTACAAATATGTAGTAGTACGTCATTACGTTATTTCTTGTTGGACATTTAAAATTTTGAGTTTGGATGAGTTACGAGGCGAAGGTGTGTCAGGTAGGTCAGCGGCGAGGGTACGAAGGCCAGTTCGCAGTATTGTTATCTGCTGGGCGCGGCGACAGACGGCCCGTGTCAATGTTTGGACAAACGAGCACGTGGTTCAGCTCTTTCAACCGAGCAAACATATCGAACGACTCACAAGCCAAATAGTTCAGGCCTTGCGTCACAATCACGCATTGTCTTATTCAACCTTACAAGACTTACAAGATTTCTTTCATTAGATGTTGAATACAAGAAATAGAACGCATGACTATCGATGTGACTACGTTTACGGTTTTTCAGATTTTTTACTAATCAAAGTATTAACAATCGACATTAAATTGGCTTTTGCGACGGGAACGGATTTTTGAATTTAGTAGTTTAATTAAGTAGGTATTAGGCTGTACTAATCATTGGTTTAGCGCAATACTAACCTACAAAATTTATTAAATAAAACTTCTTAAGTGAACTCCTAGAAATGAGGCCTATAAAATCAAAGGCAGCTAAACGCCTTAATGTCGTAAAATGGATTAACAATGGCGCTATCTTGTTTAGTTAGTTGGACACGCTTTAGTGTTTTCATGTTATAACAAATGCAGCTAAATCTCTAACAAATTCAGTTCAAAAATGTTATTTTTACTCTGTACAAACTAACTAAGTACTAATAAACGAAGTTTTATCATTTAAAATTCAGATTAATAGTAATATTCTCATTCTTTATAAATCTACTTTAAAATAAAGAATATCGTAGCTATCTGAACCAAGTTATTTCAGCTTCTCAAACCTGGAGTGTTGCTAATATTGGCCCTAGCAAGAGCAGTACTTCGATGGATCGGCAGAATCCGTAATGACGTGTTTAGGGCCGATTTTTGTAGTTTACCTGAATATTTGACAGACTTGGATTTAGCTGCCTTTGATTTTATAGGCCTTAAATATCATTACCCAGAGCGCCATTTCATGCTATGACAAGGACGTCACAGCTTCAAAATCTCTTTTACAAAATTACTTAATAACGAAACTCGAGTTCGAAGGTTTCGTTCAAACAATCGCCTTTCACTAAGACAAACAGAGGATGTTGTATTGTCATCACGGATCGACTTGAATGCCTGCGCCGATGCAAACAACATTGTTCAGTCTTCGTAAAAACTCCGTAGACTGGATTAGAACAAACAAGGGATTGCTGTAAGTTGGTGTTGCTATCTTATAGAATAAATTCATACGAGTATTTATTAAAATACCGTAAAATTTTTTGGTAATCTTCCAAAAGAGAATAACTGAACACGGAGAGGGTTCTTTTTTATGTTTGATTGCATTACAGCTTTCGCGGTCTTCATTCTCAATTCAATGGAGTCTAACTGTTGATTGTTTAAACTAGCTGACCCGGCAGACTTCGTAGTGCCTCAATCGATAAATAAAAGACCTAAACTTTATTTAATTCCAAGAATTTTCATATCTATCTACCTTTTAAACCTTCCCTGGACTTCCACGAATAATTCAAGACCAAAATTAGTGAAATCGGTCCAGCCGTTCTCGAGTTTTAGCAAGACTAACGAACAGCAATTCATTTTTATTTTTATGTTTTGATTGCATTACGCTTTCGCGGTATTCATTGTCATTCCAATTAAGCCTATCTGTTGATTGTAATATATTATAAATATAATTTTAAATATTTTAAATTACAAACGAAACGCAATTCAGTATCGAAAGTCGATACATCTTAGCACAAATCAATGGGATCCATCCCTTCGAAGTATGTAGCCTCTGAGCGCCAGGTGCTATGCGGGAAGCATCCTCCCCCGCCCTCCTTTGCCCCTCGCACCTCACGCACACATACATAACAAAAATACCACACATGTTTCTGACACGATGACGTTTAGAACAACGAATGCATGTGTGTTCGTATAATAAATTAATCGTTTGCATTTGCTTATGCCCTTTTCGTTGCGAATAAAAAATGGCGAAGATAAATATGAATCGAACGGATGCTAATTTAAAAATATAGACGTTTAAATGTACGAGTTTTGTATCTTGAAACAGTAAAAGGAGCCGACGTCACTTAGGAGTATGTTAAATGTACCGTATTTAATACAGAGTTATGAAGTCAACTCGTTTGAGAGAAGACCCGCAATCATAATGTATTATTAACACACAGTTTAAGGACCTATAGGCATTCCGTGTTGTGATGATTTTTTCATTTCTAAACATTTTTTGACCTGAAACCTGAAGTCATATTTTTGCGTAAAAACTAAGTTTGAAAGTAAAATTAGATTGAAATTTTCAACATTATTCCTTCCTATTCGTACACTCTTAACAGAGTGGTCGTGGTCATGCATCAGTCGGATCCTGCGATACCGATGCTCTCGCGATGCGACGCCATGTGGCACGATGTTTCGCAGAGTGAGCGAAATCGTTTATGTTGGAGTGAGCCACAGATTTTATAAGGTCGGTACATCGTGTTGGAGATCGTCCGCGACATCTTTTGCCCTCGACTTTCCCTTGCACCACCAACCGCTCAAGTCCTCATTACGAGTGATGTGCCTGAAGAACTTGAGGATTTGTATTTGGACTGTTCAATCTTATATAACAGTTTTAATTCTACGAGCTCATGATCTAAAGCATACCTGATATTTTTAGCAGCCGCTTAACTGCAAGTGTACCTTGAACTGGTCTGCTAGTCGACGGTTATAAAAAGAACCTATTCAATCGACTATCTGTCACGAACGATAAAACCAGTTAGCAGGGAAGCGCGTTACTCATCGCTGGAATGCTTTTAAGAGCTTCTAACGCTAGATGTAGTGCCAGACATTGTGCGCGTTCACTCAACACAATGAAAATTATCAACAGGTAGCGAAGGCCTATACATTCCGTTCTTCCGGTATCCGACTACAAAACCTACAACGCATTAAAGCCCTTAATAACACCCAATAAAGCTTGAAATAGTTTGACGGTTCGATTTGAGCGAACGCGGTCCAAATGTTGACTTTACATTGTAAACGAGTTTGAGTGCACTGTGTAAACATTTAAGGTATAATTTCATGCAGCTGGGCGTGTCAGATTCTCAAGGCGCAATGCAGGGTTACCCATCATCCGGTGTAAGGCGACACCGTGGGGAAGTGAGCGCCGTTTCGGGCCGAGGATAAGCCCCTCGTATCGCATTAACATCGTTATAGTGATCATTATGTCTAGTGTTAATACGACTTTGTATCGTCGAAAGAAAACTCATAAACTTGACAGTTGCTTTATTTTTATTGGCGCAGATAGGCGCGAGCTCTCGGTCCACCTGGTGTTAAGCGAATATAAGCCTTAAGTTATATAAACGATTGGAATAGTGGCTGTCTTATTTTGCCGTCGCATTATATCTGTAGGTGGCATGCAATATTAATTTGCTTAATATCTTACAAACAAAAAAAAACTCAACGAAATTCGCAAATTTCATTTTCTTAAACGACTTTTTTTTCTGTTTCCGTCTATATTTTTTTCTTTTGTGAACAGATGTTTAAGTTCTGGCTATAATCATTTTGAAAAATTGATACCTGTGTCAGAATCATTATCGATTATACCAACGTATTTTAAGCCGCGAACGCATCGCACAAGATCATGTTAATGTAGCATCTTCTTCTTTCTGGTCGTTCCCTCAATACTGAGGATCGTGACTGTATGTCAATCTTCTCCACTCGGTCCGGTTCTGCGCCATATGTACCGCTCCCCGTATCTGGCCTCCAGTCATATGTCATATGTAGCATCTAGGCACTCGTTTATGTCTTTTCTATGCTATTTTTTAAATTTTAATTTAGCCTTTTGTTTACTGAAATGACTTTTGTATCGTTTTGTGTTTTTATAATAAATTAATGAATAAAATTTCAGGGCTCACGTGTCTAAGTTAGAATCTTCCTTTGGCTACCGGAAGATTACATAAGAGGCGAAAACAGAACATTCACATGTTATATCATTATCAAGTATATTTAAAAGATATTGATTTCGAATGGATAAGTCACGAACGGCACACAGAACCACAGCGGCCAATTGTCATGGTTGTGTGACATAAATTATAATAAAAAAATGAACATCATAAAATTAATATAAACGTAAATCAATTACTAAAATATATATATAGATCGTCGGAGACATTTTGACGTAACACAAATGTACGTAACGTACAAATTTTGATGTAATTAAAACATTTTTAAAATAAGATAGTAGACACTATTCACAAATTCATGAAAACAGGTACT